CGATGTGTGAAACTAAATCAATCCGAATGTCCTTTCATATCAGATTGACCCGCCGTGGAGATGCCTGTTTAGCAACTTCTTCTGATTGACTGTTTTTTGTCACAGATGTACTGCATACGGACAGGAGCCTTTGATACGGAGTAAAAAATGTACAAATCCCGTAGAAGTTACGACAACCTAGACCTTTCTAGCGTCCACTTGGCCAATCTTCACTATCCAGTTCCTAAGAGACTATTAATATTTTATGGGGCAGTGGGTGGGAGGGGGGTGAGATATGCGAAAAGAGAAGGCTTTAATGGGGAGGCTCTCCCATTTGAATGGTCAGATAAAATGAATAAATAAAAAAAATGGGTGCGAAAGTTCAATAAAGTGATGAGAAGTTATCCTGATTTAGTCAAAAACTAGAAACTTATATCGTATTCTAAAACTTTTAGAGTTACAGAAAACATAACAAGCTATGTTTATATCGTGGACTATTGAATATAACAGTCTTTCTTCATGCAATCCGTGTGATGCTGTTGTCTAAGGACAATTAAAATGAAGGGAGGTTTATTCGAAATATTCCTCATGGCACTGCCCCAAATATCACCAACCTCCCCTCCTCCCCTCTCCCATAAATATGGTTGGTCCTTTGTCCATCCTCTTTCATTTTGTTTTCTAATTTCCATTTCCCTGTTTTTTTTTTCTCACCTGAAAATAGTTCTGCTCGTTGAAGAAAGAGGCTCTCAATGGGCTGATAGCTTTTACGGCGAAAACGATTAAAGCTTTGGCCATTTTACGGATAACGGTTAATATCATTCTATTGTTGTCTCCAGGAATTTTTTTTTACGATGAACGTTTTTTACGACTAGCGGTTTAAATTTGTTAATTTTTATGCGTTTGACGGCTATCGGTTAGTCCAATTGAGACCCTCACGAAGACAACTCAATTTAAAGAGGTTTGGCCCGGCAAGTCTACGAAACACCGAACAAAGAGCAAATAAGACGCCGCGTTCGTTCATTGTAAAGATCAGTTTAAACTCGATTAAAGCACGCATGTTTCAAGTGGTAAGTTTACGAAAGGCACAGAAAAGCAACACACACAAAGATGTTAAGCATAGTTAATTGGTGGTACAAGGGGAAGTTTATAAAATTTACATCTGGAGATAATTAAGTTTTAACACCTTTGGAGAACGCTAAACTTTTTATGTAATTATCAGTTCATTAATAATTTCCTTTGAAAATTTTACCCCTTGGATCGAAGTGTTAATCTCATGGATTATTACCTTATTAGTTACTGTTGGAAAGACATGCAGCTCAGGAATATACTTTGAACCACGAACCAGCTTTACTGTCATCTTGTGTTATACAATCAGCAATCTTTCAGTAGTTATTTTTATGTATGTTTGTTATTTTAAAGTGAACAAACATGACGTTATCACTTCAAATTAGCATAAAGTAACCCAAACTGGATTTTTCTTGGACCGATGATTGCGTAAAATACACTTCGAGTGATTTCAATGATTTTAAAACTTGGGATCAGACCCAGGAGAAGGCAGAAATCAATCCTGACCCTCTATCTAAGCTATTTCCGCAAAAAAAAAGCAACAACAACAACAAAACAAAAAACAAAACAAAACAAAAAGAGAGAGAGAGAGAGAGAGAGCAATAAAAATGGATTGTAATTTTTTTTTGGTTTGATAGTATCACGTATGGATACCACAACTGACACTACACTACTCAGTCTGACGAAAGGCAGACCAAGTCTAGCATCAGAGAACACCCTCAAAGTGTGTTCTCGTGCACTGAGTTAGACTTCTTTAATGAGGTAGAGGTAAAAACTATCGAACGAAATATTGGGAAAGTTACTTAAAAAAAGGACCGTGAAATTTTTTGAAAATGGGTGAGGCAGATAAATTATCGTATGATATGGAATTTTGCGGGTTTTAATGTTTGCGGATTTGGGGAATTTTCCTCCATCCGTGTTCCAGCAGAAAATGATTGGTGTTCGTACTCATTCGAAATATCTGTCAACGAATTACCCCTCTCGCAGCTCCACCTGTGCTGCTCAACAACTCAAAAATTCTGGAAATGTTGCTTTCTTTTCTTTTCAATGTTCTGTTACTTAAACAGAAAATCGTAAATATTAGTTCCCAGCAGTGTTTGAGCCATCTCTAACCGCGGAATCGGGTGACTACCATTCTCTTTCCAGTCTATTCGTTTCACAAGTTTTTATGTTCTTGGTGTTGTCTTGGACAAAATGGAAGTATGTAATATTGCTACTTGTTAATACATTGACTAAGATTATTCTAACTATAGTTCCTTTAAGCTGCAAATAAGTTTCTCGGGTACAATTGCGATCCACACAGTTTCCCCTTGTGTACTATGTACACTGATTACAATTTGGAGATAAAAAGTACATGATCGTTTAAGATTAAGGAAGGGCAGGTGCCGAGCCATTTCCTCGGAGTAATTTCAGTTCATTGAAATCGGCAATTGTTTACGACATTGCCAACACTCGATTTCCTTTGTGGTTTTCTGAAGGAAAATGACGTTTTAATTTCTCAGTTTTACGGTTCATTTTGTATTTGATAAATGAAACGAGGTGACTAGTTAGTTTTAAACGCTTTATGGAATAAATTTCAGAGCAAGTCTTTCTGAAAGGAAACACTGAAGTAAGAGATTTAAATTCATTCATAAAACAAGAATTCAAGATTTGATTACTCATTGACAAAGATATGCTGTGTATAGCTGATTTGTTTTTTTATTTTCTCAAATGTAATAAACAATTCAAGTCATTAAACCTCACCTGTCGGACCGCCTACTTAATACTGATTCACAAATCCTTTCTGTGTTTACGCGTTTTTATCCCTAAATTCCATGAGTATTAATAGGTGTGCTCACTCCTTCCTGATTAGGCGAAAATTGGACTGTTTACAAACTTTACATTCGAGAAAGTCTTGGAATTTCAAATCTTTGGTGTTCAAGATGGTTAAATCCTGGATGGATTAAACGTAAAACATTCTCTTGCAATCAAAATACTTTTGTCAAATTTCCAGTTTTTTGTTCTGTTTCATCCTAAACGATCCATTAACTTCCACAAAACATAAAGAGGAAAGTCATCTTTGGTTTCCGCAGTGGTTATGGTTTTGGAGTAAAAAATGATGTGGTGGGGAGAAATATCTCATTTTGGCAGCTGATAAACTAACTGAACTAAACTTGTGGGGCTGGCCCTGTTCAGAATGTTATCTGATGAATGTTTCGTGATGAAGTATCGACTGCTAAGCCTGCATTGTCCTTTTTTATTCATTTTGTTTGAAAGATTTACTGAAAAACGGTATGTATATACATATCGTGGTATATATAAAAAAATTTGTCACCGTTTTCACATAGGACTAATACTGATAGAATTAAGTTTAATGGTTAGAAACAAGAGTAGGTGCGGGATTATATTTTGCAATTGATAGATTCTGACTTAATAAAACGCTCAGTTGTAAAACTAATTCCTTTAGATAAGTGGTAATTCTTTACAGGATGGTAAGGATAGAACTTTAAGTTGTTCTTGTTTCCGTAGCACACGTTTTTCTTAAATCGTTTGGATCACCCATAAATTGATGAAGTCCTTTCCAGCTCTTTCATTTCAACAGGTACCACAGCCAAGACGAGATAGGGTTACCTGCAACTGCCATACATCCTTCTAAAAGACTAAACCCTTTGAATTGAGTTATAAACGTTAGAATAGAAGATCAACTGAATCTCTATACGGGTGTTATTGTTTTTAAAAACCCTCATTCAGCATATAACTACAATGAATAATTCCAAGCTGATCCAGTATACTGAAATCTAAATATCTCTATAAAAACTTGACCTCGCGAATTTCTGTGGGAACGATCCCTTGCCGGAAAACGAACGCGCATTATTGCCAAACCACGAGCCGGTATTTCAAAGACTTATCATCGGAAATATCGATGATGTGGACAAAATTAAAAGGTGAATTTTTTTTTTTTTTTTATGGAAGAAGGACAGAGTGAACTAGCAAAATTTTTAAAGGCGCTCTTGAAAGAAATGTTAATAAACCAAGTGGTATAACTGTGTAAGGAAGGCGTTACATCTAAAACAAAATTGATCGTTAACGAGGATCTGTTATTCACAAGAGTAATCAAGAAAGCTAATTCTCACTAATTTAAAAATAGGACTTCCGTCCGGAATGAAATCTTTTTCCAGCCTCTAGTGTCAGGTAGTTCTGAGGAATATTCATTGTAATATCTTGATTAAGGCGTGGGGGATATGGTTTGCGATAACTCGATAACGTTAATCGATTCCTTTTGAAGAAAGTAATTAACAAGGACAGGAAGTGAGCTTGATTTTCCCCCGCGCTCAACAGAAAAACATTCCCTAATTACTGTAAACACAATGTCTTGTTTACTTCAGATCTTTGAATTGGGTCTTTAAGATTTGAGGTTAGGTATAACAGTTTGTCTCAAAGTAATGATCTAATACTTTGCTGATAAAAATAGAGAGAGCAGAGGAAGGAATTGTAATCCTCTGTCGGGGATCAGAGGTTAATTGTTTTAAAAATTACTCGTGAAAGCTCTTTCGCCGTTTTTAAAAATGATTTGATGATTTACAACTATCGAGATAACTTCCCGAACTCTTGTATCCAGTTTGAAAGGCAAGCGAACAACACGAAAAACTGATCTTTTGCATACCTAACAATTTCTGTATCATAAAAACTTTAAAAAAAGGATTAGAAAGCTTAAGAGGGTATCATTATGATAGCAGTTGGATTAATAAGAAGCTCATGGTGTCGAGTTTCAACAGACACTCATGGTATTTCTTCAAAACATTGAGTGCATAAACTCAGCGTGTTTTCAATTAAGCTTTGTGGGTGGTGGGCTGCCTTTTGTGTGACAGTTTCCTGTGTTTGTGAAATAACAAGTAGATAAAAGCGTCATTTGTGTATTGTAACAGTCCGGCTATAAACAACTGAGTGACTGGGTGGTGATCCGCTTAGATCGATCATATAACGCGCACTGCTTCACGCAAAGAGCTCCTTGAGAAGCATTAGCAATAATCTCAAGACAAACAACAATTTTGGAAATGATGTCCGACAATTTGGTGAAGACCAGAAAGGCCGGTCGGAGGGCTGACCAACCAAAGCCTCCCCACTCGTATATTGCGCTGATAACAACAGCGATCCTCAGCTCACCGAGAAAGAAGCTGACACTCACTGAGATCAACGAGCACTTGGTGGAGAACTACGAGTTTTTCCGCGGAGCTTACCAAGGCTGGAGGAACTCGGTAAGACATAATCTGTCGTTTAATAAGTGCTTTGTAAAAATCTTGAAGGATCCGTCGCGGCCTTGGGGCAAGGATAATTACTGGACAGTGCTGCTTGATTCACTAGAAGAATATGTCAGCGAAGATGGCAATTTCAGAAGAAGAAGAAAGCGTCAACCAAAAGAAAAGGAGATTGCTTTCATAGACGGACGTGAAAGCAAAGTGCAAGCGCGAGACGCTATCAGCAAGACGTTAAGATCTGACATTGATAACAACCATATCAAGTCCAACCCAGAAGTATTTTCTCAAAGCAAGGGAAATATCGATCTTAATAGGTTCTCCATAGACAGATTGCTGAGGAATGAAAACAGAGTTCGAAACGACGAAAGATTTGGTCATCAGATGCTTGCTGGCGTCAAATCAAGATCGCAAGGTATGAAGGCAATAAGGCGTTATTTTCTAAACTGCAAAAAAGTAATTTAATTAACTCCTTCGCAGACACTTCCCCGGGGTAGCTTATAATAAGTATGGCAGCAAAATTCTAACTTCCAGACACGCAAGAACATACAGACCACCGCGCTTAAAACATCCATTCGAGTTTGACACAATGAAGTAATATTCCCTGGGATATTGCTGCTGTCATAATGAAGCTTGACAAAAACACAATATTGCACCCGACCAAGCAGTCAAAGTTGGCGGTATTATCTATTTAGAAACAGTTAATAACAAATCAAGTCGAGCTGATATGGTTGCGTCATACGAAACCCTTACAAGGAAATTACTGTACATTTTGATTCTAAATTTCACTTAATTTGCGAGAATTGGCTGAGGATTGCAGATTTACAGTCAACTTTCAAGTCTTGATGTTCAAAGGCTAAACGCAACGAAACGCACATAAGCGGCAAGAACAAAAACAAAAATATCTTCGAGTAAGATAATGATAAATTTCTTTCGGTAAATCTTCTCAGTCTCGAGCCAGATTTGCACCGATACACAAATACGTCAGAGTTGATCCTTGACACCCTCACATCAGTATGCATATTCTCCATACTGTTCCTTATACATTTCCTAAGGTGCTGACAAGGAGAGTTTGTTCAACTCAGTTAGGAGTTATTTTAATTGGTGTTCATTTCCTTTATTCCCGTGACCTTAATGTGTGATTCCAACCTCCAACCTCGTTCCCAGGGTCTCTCATCTTCCCGCTCCCCGGAGCAAGCCTGGGAATGAGGTTTGTTTGGTGTGATTCAAGGGTGATATTGTAAGGAGAAATTGAATGCTGGTCACTCTTAGGGGTCAAGGGTAAAACAAAACCCATGCAGAAATGCCCCACAAGGGGCCATGTGCCGATGTGTGCATGCGCATGACTTTTTAAACATTAGCACATCTTTTTAATCTTATAATTTTCGTCATCCTTCATTTTCGTCATCTTTCATTACTCCAGTTGCTGTTTAGTTCTAATCTTACTTCTTTGTCTGCAAATCTTTGATATCAAGTTTGCATATTTTGGGAAACATTTTCGTTGCGAAATGGCATGTGATAGCGCTTTGAAAAGATTTTGAAAAATCACTCTAATACGATACAAAAAGTAACGGGGAATACTTTGACCCACAGTGGTTTTCTCCTCTTTCCCAATTTGAAATCCTTCCAATACCGAGGGAGCTAAACACTAGTTTTCCGCACCGCTGACCATACGTCTTTTTGTTGGTGTTTACATCAAGATTTAGATTTTCTTGCAGGACGACATGTCCTCTTGCCCTTAATTGAAAATGATTTAGAATTTATTGACCTGCATACTAGATAATCCGTGAACATAGCAGACCAGAAGCGACCGACTTATATGCATAAAAAAATGTATGAAAGCGATCCTCGCAGTAATGAACACTACTTCTGTAGTGGTGGAAATAAGGCCTGCAATCAGGCCCGTACGGGATTTGAACCCAGGACCTCTGCGATACCGGTGCAGTGCTCTACCAAATGTACTAACAAGCCAACTGGGAGCTGGTCATTATGTTGGTCCGCAGTGCAAAAATGATTTTCATGTATCCAAATTCATTATACGTATAAATCACGAAACCGTATTTTCTCTCCATCACTTCAATCAACCGCCACATCCCCTTTCTCTCCGCAAGATTAGAAGGAAACAAGAATTATAATCTCAACCAGGTTTTCTCGTTTTACATTTGCAGGAAACACAGCACAGGGATTTTATAACCCAAGCTTTCTAGACTGTCAACATGATGTATGGGAACGAAGAGTCAGTCTCTTCCCTGACCAGCCGTGCTACCTTGGACAGACCACGCCCTACGGTTCGCCATCTTGGATTCACGTGGATTCGTCTCATCAAAACAAAAGATTTTATCCCTATCTTCCCAGAAGCCAAGCTGTAACATATCCATATTGTATTTAATACATATTTGCTCGAATTACGAATTTCGAACTAAGTTTTGAAGCGGCATCGGACATAAAGATGGAAAGCGAACTCTATTCTCCTTGACTTACCCAAATTTTCATTCACTGAATTCCGTAATGGATCATTGCGTTTTTTTTTTTTTTTTCTTCTTTTTTTTGCAGCGTAGACTGTGGTACGGGAATTGTCACTCTGTCAAACGGTGGGTTACCGAGTTTCTACCTAACCGTATTTTAAGCGTTGGAAACTTCAGAGAGCTGGAAACTACTAGTTATCCATAACTAAACGTGTTGATCAAGCCATTTGAAAATTGGGGAAAGTTTAAATGTTGTTCATAATCTACAATAAGTTTTTTTAAAGTTTGGCCTCAAGAGGCTTCAAATCAAAGTTAGTGCGCAGTTAGTGTTATTATTCCATAGCCAACGACAAAAGCGACCGAAGAAAACTTTGCAACTGTAAGAAATTGGCTTCTGTAAGTTTTTTTTTTTCGTTTAAAATAAAGACACAGGAGTTGAGGTGACCGTGAAGAAGAGCTGAGTAGTTGTTTTTGTTTGTCGAGAAGAGAAGTCCGAAAGTTGTCGACTCAGACATGTAACTCAACAGTATACGTACATATAATTTTACGGTCTTTTCAGCACTTTTTTTTCTTGTTTGACAACAAAATCAAACCCGTACAAAAAATATCTACATGAGTTTTTTTTTTTTTTTTGTAAAAGTATACCCCACAAACGAATTAGCAAGCATGTAAGGTTCTCGGGATGGGGAGTAATTTATTATTCTCCCGGAGAAAAAAATCCATGTGTTAGATTTCATTAATTAAATTGAAAACTCGAATAAAACGAAATCGGCCTTCAATTGATGACAGCATTTTAAGCTCGAGTGATTTAGATTTAAAGGGTGGTCTTGCTTGCTCTAAATCAAGGTGTGTCAAGAGTCAAATAATTATTTGCCAAAGGAAATCTTGTGAGTTATCCTTATCTCAAAAACGAATGTGTTTTCCACGTTAAGACGAAAGGAGGAAGTTAGATAGCAGATTGGAAGTAATCATTACATTTTAAAGGGAACAGCACTACTCCTAAAGGACCGCGGTCTAGAAGACCGCAAAATAAGTTTTCTCAGATAGTTAAGTTCTAAGCTTTTTTGTCCGGGGCGTGGCACTGAACAATAAGCAGCGGGTTTAACATTTGTATCGTGATACAAGTCAATTCAAACCTGTTATTTCTATCAATTTTTCCTCTTATGAGAATACAATGAAACCTGCTGTAAACGAAATAATTGATGTCTGAATGATAAACCCAAGACTCATGCTTATAAGTGAGGGGCTAGCGCTTTAAAACGCTTGAGTTAAGGAAGTTCTGTCTATCAGCCGTTAATGTCAATAAAACTGAAGTCCAAATATTTCAGCCCATTCTTTGTATATGATAAACCGCGACTATTTCTTTTTTAAAAAGGGAACACATGAGAAATTTGATGTCTAACTTTAGCTGGCGTTGTTGACGGTTGATTACAGGAATCTTAAAGTTTTGATGGTTTAGAGTCAACATCTTCAGTCAGCATCAAAATTAGTTGGCACATCTTGTTCGAAGAGTCCTTTATGTGTACAAAACACTCCTGTTTCTACCACGCTAAATCCTTGACAAGACCCGCTCTCCCCTATTCAAGGTTGCCTGCATGACAGAACGGCTGAATGTCCTACCACAACGTTGTACATGAAACGGTACGACTGTGAGAGTAAATCTGTAAGACCTCCCCCAAAGATCAGATTTACACAGATCAAGGGGAGACTATCAAGGAAGAGAAAGCGAAGTAGTAACGAAAATGAAGTTGCAGTTGAGAATGAGCCCCTTCTGGAGGACCAATCTATTGTACAAGAGAGCATTGACTTCAGTGAATCATGCAGCCTCACGCGGCATCCCCTGCTGTTACAGACGCTAGTTTTCTTGTTGACACAGCTACACAGACAGAGAGTATAAGTCAAGTGAAAGAGAAGAGAAAATATTTCATTGACCAGGCAACTTGTACTAAAACCTGTTATCGTCATGCAGGTGTAACTAGGTCTAAGCTTGATTTGATTTTTTAATTTTTAGAACCAAAGGCAACTAAAATACGTCTTTGGAGGGGTAGTAAGACTACCAAAAAGTCATTAAAAAAAAAACAAGTAACTGAGACACCAAATAAGAGTAAAAATGATGGAGTCTTGACAAAGTGGGAACAACTTGTTCTAACATTAGTGAGAACAAGGAAAGGTTTCGATGTCAAATTCCTAGCTCACAATTTTGGCATTAATTCATCTCGAGTGTCAGAATTTACAATACACGGATAACAGTTCTTTCTCAAGAGCTGTCCTTTCTAGTTCCATGGCTTTCAAGATGAGAATTACAAAAATGTCTTCTAAAGAGATTAAAAAAATTTAAGAATGTAAGAGTAATTATTGACTGTCTTGAACCCTGCAAAAAGAAGCTCCAGCTGACCTGTGACGCGTCGTCGCCCAGTATTTCAGTTCACTGAAGTTACCGAAGGTTTTGTCTTGAAACAACCTAGAGGGCTTATGACCAAAAAAGCCGTTGGCCTGGACGACATTCCACGCGTCTTCCTAAGGACAGTACTGTTATTATCATGAAGCCTCTTGCATCGATCATTCATGCTTCTCTGCGGCAAAGTAAAGTTACAAATGCTTGGAAAGCAGCACGTGTGATTCCCTTACTTGAAAGGGAAAGAGGGAGGATATAGATAATTACAGGCCTATTTCAATTTTACCCACAGTCTCTAAATTGCTAGAGAGGGCTGTTCATGTACGACTATGTGATTATTTACGAGGGCATAACATTTTGAGCCCATACCAGTGCGGTTTCAGGAAACAGCATTCTACGGAATTTACGGCTTTATCTTTAGCTGATACGAGAAGACGTACTGACATTGATCAAGGTCAAATGACTGGAGCTGTTTTTACAGACTTTCGCAAGGCCTTTGACAATGTGAACAATTCCCTGCTATTAAAGAAGCTTTATGCCCTGGGTATCGTAGATCAAGAATACGAGTGGTTTACTGACTATCTGAAAGGTAGAAACTCAAGTTGTTGGGTTCCAGGGAGCTTTCTCAGACGCTGAATCTCTTTGTCGGTGTGCCCTAAGGATCGATCCTCGAACCTCTGTTGTTTGTGCCTCATGTGAAAGATCTACCCACCGTTGCCCGCAAGTGTAGTTTGCTAATGTAAGCTGATGACCGTGTTATCTATTTTGGAAAGTTTGCTGCTACAAACGAGGAAAGTCTCAATGAAGATCTTGATCTAACTGGATCCTGGCTTTGTAATAACAGCCTTTTCTTAAACACAGTGAAGACTGAAGCTATGTTGTTCGGAACTCACGCTAGGCTTTCTAAAGCAAGTTTTGGTATAGGGTTCAAGGACCGACCCGAGCGCTGGACTGTTGTGCGGGAGGTCGAGGGTTCGAGCCCTCGCCGGACCAACACTCAGGGTCTTAAAATAGAGAAGAATTTGCTGCCTTTCTATAACATCAAGAAATGGTTAGATATTCTAGTCTTCTCGGATAGGGACGAATAAATGGAGGTCCCGGCTCCTGCAGGGTTGGGGAAGGAGACGTTAATTTCCCAAACACGAGATTACTGTGTGATGGATGTCCTCCCCTGGGGTAGGATGGGTGGGTTTATTGGGCCCGCAGTAATTGGCGCAAGCAGTTACGGTGTCCCTGCCGGTTGGCGAAGCTAAATAAATCATAAATCTAAATCTAAACCCATTAAGCGCGTTTTTTAATTTAAGAATTTAGTTGTATTTGATGAACATATTTCTTGGAATTCTCATGTTAGGTATGCTTTGTCCCGAGTTGGTAATAGACTGGGAATGCTAGGACACATTAGGGGGAATCTTACGACTGTGCTACTTCCATTTACACAGCTTATATTAGTCCTATCATGGATTATCGTGACACCGTGTGGAAGTGCTGCGGAGCTGGCAACAATTCGTCACTAGAGAGGCTTGAAAGACGCGCCGCTAAATTTTTTTTTAAAAACGAGCGACAGTGACAGAGCTTTGTGATAAAGAAATTGTTAGGCAAAGTGGACTGCTGGACTTGCTTGAGGAGAGGGATGCAGTCATTAATGACAAGGCTTTTGTGATTCGGGATCTCTTAACATTTTAGAAAGTTCATCTCGTTTCACCAGCCTTCCGTCAGTCGAGGTCCACGTCATTCAGCCAAAGAGACTTCACACACCCGTCGTGTGGCATCACTACGCACTCATGTTGAGAGGAACATTTTGAAATTAAAACATTTTAGAATTATTTCAGTAGTTATTCCCCTTTTGTGAAAACCAATGTTGGATAGAATTATTTTTGTTTGTGCTGCTTTAACTAATATATGTAGAAGAAGCATAAAGTAAGGTGTACACTGCAGTAGCAAAAACTTTTATTTAGTGATTTTTATTTGATCTTCATGACTTTGAGATAACTGTTTTATGTGAAAATTGTGACTATGTAAGGCTTCCATAAGGGAAGAAGGAACTATTTGCTTACAATAACACTTGTAAACCGTTGCTACAACAGTTTCCCCGAACTTATCAATGTAACAAAAAATATCCCTTTACTTGTATATGTAACAAAATCACAAATTTTTAAACCTGAAACTACCATGCCAGTCTGAAATTGGAAATAATGTAAGTGATTTTTGTCAAGAAAATAATTCCCATCTTCCTTTTTTCCACCAACTGTTGGTAGCAGGAAAGCAATTTTAGGATCAAGGTCCTTTCCTTTAAATGGACATTTTCTCTACTACTGAGGGGTCACAACAATGACATCTTCTAATACCATCTAAACCTGCTCCTGTCCAGGAATAACTGCTACTAATGAGGAGACCGGGCTCCTCAAGATCAAATGAACAGTGCTGTTTTTCACTTACTTTTGAGTGGTAGGATTTTGCATTTTCTTCCTCCTTGATACCACATTCTATGGCTTCAGGATACACTTGGTTTTCTTTAAACTCTTTTTGATCAATGAAATTTTCAACAGTGAGGGATACATCAGTAAGAGCATAGTTTTCTAAAGTTTTTTGTCTGGTATAAAGAGATTTAATTTTTTTACCAGTAACCAAAATGTGTCTCATCTCATGCCAGCTTTTGTTCTCATATTGTTCCACAGCTGCTTTGTTTATTATCATTCTCTCACTTTCTGTAGATGTCAAGGATTTCAGAAATTCCTCAGCAAAATTTAAAAGCTAGGTTATTTTCTGATAGCTTATCAAAATTTGTCTTAATGTAATCATTATCTTAAGATAGTATGGTCTGATGTATTTTCAGAAAGTGGAGCACATTTTTCATTTTCATCATGTTCTTTTGAATATGGTTAAAAAGTCAAGAATAACAGAACAAGGATCTATTTTTCTAAGTTTCGTTGCAAAATCAATTTTTTCTTTTCTATCTTTCTTAGGTCTAGGATCAAAGGAGTCAATCCATGAATCATCATACAAGGTTACTTTTTGTTTCTTTTTCCTCAGAGAGCTTTTTGATAGTTTCATTTTGGACAAAGGGACAGATTTGTGTGTAGGTGTTGGCTCGGGGTTCCAATACACAGACATAGAGGTGACAGACTTTTTTTGATTTGAAAGAAAATCATCACATTCAAACAAAGTTGCACTTAAATGTCTGCATCCTTGATCTGC